GTCTGGGAGACGAGGGAACACCTAGAAATTAATGCTTTGATGGGTTGTCCTGCCACAATTCTTTCTTACTATGTGTTTTTTTGTATAGTTGCCAAAGCCAAGAAAAATCACTAAATAATCCATCTCTATTAGTGACCATACACATTTGATTGACTAAATATTGATCTCAGCCACAAAATAATTATTTTTCAGTGAAACGAGTTGTAGAAAAAAAATTCAATATGTAACTTTTTAAGACTACAAAGGATCACCAAACAGGCCAGCACACACAGCCAGTTTTCAGGCTGGGTTCAAGACTCTAGGCTCTCTGACCACCTTTAAAAATAAACACTGCCATTTACTACCCTTACTAAGAGTAAAGTCATAGTAATTTGCTCCACCGTTATATATACATGGGTTTTGAGGTCAAATAACTGCGTTTAAATCCAGCTCTGCACTACTTTTGGACCTTGGGAAGTTACTTAACATCTCTACGCTTTGGTCAAAAGCAAAGATATAATCTATCTCATAGGACTGTTAGATTTAAATGAAAAGGTGTTGGTAAAGCACACAGCATGATATGTGGCAAGCAGTGAGGATGCAGGACTTACTATTATTAAAATACTATCCAAGCGGCTGAGAACTTAGAGATTAGTAAGTACTGTCCTTATTTTTTGGACCAATTTGGGAACTAGCTACTATACTCAGCCCCTAATCTGTAAAGCACTGAAGAACACATTCATTTGGTTATTAAACTGAGAATTCAATTTTGTGTTAACAGGAGCGTGATTTAATTGACAAGTGCCTATTTCTGCTATTCACCACCATGAAGGACTGCTGACTCTCACTGACATTCTCAATGAAAGCGCTCTGTGGGAAATATCCTTCCCAAGGGCGGACAGAAAGTTTTCTAGTCATGTAAACTTTTTTTAAACTTTGACTTACACAGCTAATTACTAACTGATCAAACGGACAGAGTCATTCTCTGTCCTTACAGAGTTCCTAATTGATCCACAGTGTTAGAATAAATAAATGAAGAGTTTCTTCATTTTACTGAAATCCAGATAATCTATAAATTATGTAACCTCTAGAGGGGAAAGCTTGAAGTCCCTATAATTGATAATGTATTTTACTTATTTCCATACTCTCACTCACTAATGGTACCACTTTTCATAGTGCATAGAAATGCTGGAGAGCATGGTATTAGATGTGCTATAAGGCATTTGATAAAAGTGGTCACAGCTCATTGACTGGTCACATGCTCCAGCCTGTGGCATTAAATTTCCTCTGAGGTTACAATCCCTCATTTTATATTTAATGTATTGGTAGAGCGTTTTGGTGATAAATGTGGAAGAGAAGCTGGAAACCTCTTGAAGAAATAAATTTGATGGGAAATTTTCAGCAACCTTTAATAGTGTTAACTCACTGTCTGGTTTCTCTCTGTTCATTGCATTTACTTCTAAAATGTAATACTGACTTGCAAGGTCCACTTGGACTTGGCTCTCTAGAGGAGGGAGACAGTCAGCAATTCTTCATTCTGTCAGACCAAGCCCTCTTGTGTCTGTATATCTGTCTTTTGGATCTGAAGCTGTTCACATTTCGGAGAAGGCAGCAGGACTCTGGCTGGACATCTGAGTGGTGTAACTTTGTGGCTAAGAGTCCAGATGCTATGTCAGAAAGACCTTGCTTTGATTCTTGCCTGCCTACTTACTTGTCATCAGACTTTGGGCAGGTTATTTAACTTCTTTCCAAACTTCCAATTTATCAATCATAAGTTATTAAAAGGTTACCTTAAGGGTTTTTGTGGATTTTCATTCATTTATAGGTAAACACATAGTTCCATGGCCAGTATATACTGAGACAAACCACATGGCATTGCCATTTTTAAGTTTAAAATTGCCAATATCTACCATTTCATATGGTTCAAACAAATAAAAACCCCTCAATAACTGGTAGCAATTATTCTAACCAGAAAGATACTAACTTTAAGAACTTATACTTTAGAACCCTCCTACGTGGTTGGTGGGAATGTAAATTGGTGCAGCCACTATGGAGGACAATATGGAGGTTCCTTAAAAACTAAAACTAGAGTTACCATATGATCCAGCGATCCCACTCCTGGGCATATACCTAGAGAAGAATATAATTTGAAAAGACACATGCACCCCAATGTTCATGGCAGCACTATTTACAATAGCCAAGATATGGAAGCAACCTAAATGTCCATCAACAGATGACTGGATAAACACACACACACAATGGAATGCTACTCAGCCATAAAAAGAATAAAATAATGCCATCTGCAGCAACATGGATGGACCTGGAGATTATCATTCTAAGAGAAGCCAGAAAGAGAAAGAAAAATGCCATATGATATTGCTTATATTTGAAATCTAAAAATAAAAAGGACACAAATGAACTACTTATTATTAATAATTTAGATGACTGATTTCTTGAAAATGTGTAAGCACATTTGACTGTCCTTTATGATTGGATTACTGTATTCTGTTGATTCTTCAAAAAGTAAAATAACTTATACTTTAAATACATGTCCCTAACTCTAATCTCCCAGGCAGTATGGCACTTTTTATTGTATCATGGCTCATCCTTGCACAGATGAGGATGAACCTTAAATTATACAGTTCAATTATAGATTATCAAGGGAGCATGATATAGCTAAACACGTACAAGTGGAATTTAAGATCTTCCTCCTTGCCTTCTCCCGAAATAAAAAAATCTGTTCTTCCACCAGACTCCTTCCCCTCAGTGAACTGTACTGCATTCACTCCGCTGCTCGGGAGGAGACACTTGTGAGACCTCTGTTTTCTCCTTTCTCTTCATCCCCCGAACACAATCCATCAGCAGTACTTATTGGAAATTCCTTCAAAATATATGAGTGATCTGCTTCCCACAATTACTGCTACTCTTGTCCAAACCCCCATCACCTACTACAGTAGCCTGTTTAGTCCCCCTGCTTTCACTGCTGACCCCTGCAATCCTTTCTCTAAGGTGAGAGTGGAGTGTTCTTTTAAACATGGAAATCAACACAATTTATGACTTAGAACCCTCCCATTGCTTCCCATTACCCAAGATGACACCCAAAGTCCTTCCCATGGCTTCCAGGGCCCCTCATGACCTGGCCTCTGACTACCTCTGTGACCTAACCTAGTCACTCTCCTCACTCACTGCTCCTTAAACACGCCGGCCTTTGTGGTTTTCCTTCCAATCTCCAAGTTCTTTCAAGCCCTGGACATCTGCACAGCAGGTCTTCAAACGTCACTTCAAAGAGGGCTTCTCTGATCACTCCAAAGTAGCCTCCCACCCACCGACGTTACCTTTTAACATATGTGTTTACTTACTTATTCTTTGCAGTGTAAGAACTTAAGAATGTAAGCTCCATGAGGGTCTGGCCCTCATTTGCCTTATTCAGTACATTTTATCTCAACACCTGGATAGTGCCTGGCACCAAGTGCTTCCTCTGTGTTGAGTGAAGGAATGGGCTTAAGAAACATGCAGAAGGAGACCACAGAGAGGAGCATCAGCTTCAAATGCCATGTCACAGCAAACTCATGAAAGACTCCAAGTAAGACTTGTACAAGGACTGCCCAGCCAATCTACAGAATTGTGAGATCTAATAAAGAGTTAGATTTTTCAGCTTTACTGAGGTATACCTGACAAATAAAATTGTAAGATATTTAAAGTATACAACGTGATGATTAGATATGCTTATACACTGTGAAAGGACTTCCCCCCTTGCCTCAATTAATCCATCCCTCACCTCACATATTTACCTTTTGGGGGGTGGGGTGCGGTGAGACCATTTAAGTTCTACTCTCAGCAAATTTCAATTATATAATACAGTGTTATCGACTACAGTTACCATG